ACCCCCTCCTCTGCCCCCAGTCCCTGTTCCCCCTCCTCCTGTCCCCGTGCCCGGAGGCTGCGGCTTATTCCTTTTGGAGATGAACTCATTGTTGACTTTAACTCACTTCGATGTCTCCCAGGGAAGCATGTTGGCGGGAGGCCCGCCCCAGCTCCTTGAAGAAGACAGCCGGGCCAGGGCCAAGACGGGGTGCCAGCGGCCTTGGAACTGCCAAAATGTCTCCCATTTTTATGGACAGGCCTGGCTCCACCTGAAGACATTCCAAGTACTCAATCAGCAGCCCGTGGTACGTATTGGGTTGCAGAGGGAGCCCTCAGAAGCCAGCCCCTTCAGGAGGCAAAGCAGCCAAGGCACCGGCCTTCTCCATGGATCCAGCTGATGTTCAACAGATGGAAAAAGTGCATCCCAATGACGATAATCAATAATCAAAGACTGGCAGCTGCCGGGAGCCAGCCTGGGGAGTTCTTGGGGGCTGGGCTCTGCCCTCTTTTGCACACCAGATTGAGTCCAGCCAGGAATCCATCTCACCCACCTCCCTGCACCAAGCCCCGGGAGAGCAAGCAGGCGAGGGAGGAACCATTTTTTACATACTTTCTCTTTCAAAATGTAGTCCTGTTTCGCAATATCCTACTTAAGTTCTGGAAGGCTCTAGGGCATAACCCAAGACACCTTCTCCAGCCATTGGCTGGACTCTCTGTTGGTGGTGGCCACCAACCTCGTAGGTTAGGGGTGCCAGAGAAAGAAGAGGTTCTGATTTACTAGTTCTCCCAGAGTCCCCCACTAGAGTCCCCCACTAGCACTGGCATCCGAGGGTCTGTTGAGGGCAGGTCACTAACTCAGTGCTGAAGGAGCTTCAGCTGAGCCTCCAGCCAAGTCTTGTTATTTTTTTCCCCTATGCTGTGTTGGCTTTTTCCCCTGGGGGAGCTAGCAGGAGGCCACACCGGGACAGGTGCACCCTGCTCAGGTATGCTTGCGTCTCAGCAACCCCGAGGCATCTGATCTTCAGGTCCTCTCTACTCCTCGACAACTGGGCTTTTGTTCTGGCTCACTTTGCCTGGCAGTAGTAACAGTGCTGTCATCTTCCATGAATCCTTGGAGTCCCTCAAGATGGAACCTGTTCTCCTTCCTCAGCACCACGCACTAATGTGTCTACTTGTTGCCCATTTATCTCTCATAAGGACTATAACTGGAAGGTCAGAGGCAAAAAGCCAGTACCTGGAGCCCTGGCCCTGTGTCAGGGGCTTATAACAAGGCCCAAGAGGCTGACCCTTTCCCTGAATTCCCTCTCATTCCTCCTAAACCAACCCAAACAAACCAGAGGAGGAAAACAATCCCCAGTTTAAAAAATATATATATATCTAGAAAACACAACCTCATCACCCAAAATAATGAAATGGAAAACAAATCCATCCCCCGGAGACTTAGTCTAAAACATACCAGAGCTGGAACCGGGTAAGGTGGCCAGAAATGTGTTAGTCTGGGCAAGTCTGTGACCCTGGAGAGGATAAAGCCAACATTTTCCAAGTAACAGTGTGGTCAGATAACCAGATACAATCATGGGCTGTTGTTGCCTAAACCTGGGAGCAGGGTCAGGCTCACCTAGATCTCAACACAGACTCCCTCTCTCCAGCCCTTGCTCATCCCCAACCAAAGCACAAAGTGTGATTTCTGGACCGGCTCTGGTTGCTTCCAGTCCTAGGGTCTCTGCCTCAAGTGGGATGCCTCCTGGGGCTGTGGAAGGATACTCACTCCTCACCTTGAAACCCACACTCCCCTCCAGCTCCAAAAACCTTAGAGTGAGACACACAAGAATAGGTCCTGGGGGGCATGGTATTGAAGGATGCGCTGGGTTCACAACTGGAAGCCCCCTGGGTACCAATAGCAAAACGCACTCTGGCTACTGCTTCTCCAGATGTGGAAGCTGAGGTGTGGAATGTGGTCAGCGGGCTCAGGACTTCCTGGAACCACACTGTCCCTCCCTGAGCTGCCTGGAGCTTCAGGAGACGGGGGTTCAAGAAGGTGACTTGAAGAAGCCGAGGCTCAGAAGATCAAAAAGTGATCAGGAGGCCCCAGCTCATTCCTGGGCGTGACTAAGCTTCTGGGTTCTCATGTGGTTGTTGCTTTAAAAGAGCGCTATAGCAGCGCTTCTCACCGTTGAAGGCGTGCGTGAGTTACCTGGGGGATCTGGTGGTAAGGCAGCACATTCTTCACATCTGGGTGGGGCCTGGGAGTCTACATTTTTAACAGGCTCTCAAATGAGGCCAAGATTGCGGGTCCATGGCCACACTTGGAGTTGCCTAAGGATCTGGCAGATTGGAACAAACCCGAACCAGAGACAGCCAAGATATACAAGGCCTGAAGATTGACACCAGCAGAAAGAGAAAGAAACAATGGTATCTGCGGACTGCAGCCAGAGACGGCAGTGGGAACAGAAAAAGCTACCGTGACAAAAAGAGGACCCCGAAGAGGACACAGAAACAGCGAGGGGTGACGAAAGAGACAGCAAAAAGTAGCGATGGAAGGTTGGCACAGACAGAGCCAAGGTCAGGGGGCGGGGCAAGGTGAGAGCCAGGGAGAGAGGCTGGAGCTGGCCGGGGCAGCCTGGGCTCCAAAGCCCCACCAACCAGCAGTGAAAGGGGCCACAGGCCATAGACACTTCCTCTCCCACCCACCCCTTCCATATCCAGTGTATTGCCACAATCTGCCAGTTTTACTCTCCAAATATCTTTGACTTAAGTCATCTTCTCTCCTTTTCCACCACTACCACCCTAGACCAAGCCCCCAACCTCTCTCCCCTGGATGACAGCAGAACTCCCAGGAAGCCTTTAATCTTTCACACTACAGACAACATGATCTTTAAAAAATGCAAATCTGGTTATGTTGACTTACTGCTGACAATGCTTCAGCAACCTCCCTGGCTCTGAGAACAAAGGCCCAACTCCAGAGGACCTTTCTGGAATCATCTGGCCTCCCTTGCCCTCAGGCCTTCCAGCTATACTGGCTTTCTTTGAGTTTCTTGAAACACCAAGCTTCTTTCTGCCACAGGACATATGCATGTGTTGTATCTTTTATAGGGAACTGTACTGCAGTGGCCAGTAACCACATATGGCCATTGAGCACTTGAAATATGGCTAGTGTGCAACTAAAGAGCTAAATTTTTTTAATACTATTTAATTTTTAATTAATTAAATTTACATTTAAAAATATCTCATTCAGGGGACTGGAGTTGTGGCTCAGTGATATAGCACTTGCCTCGCATGTATGAGGCACTGGGTTCGATTCTCAGCACTGCCTATAAATAAATGAATAAAAGAAAGGTATTATTGATATCTAAAAAAATTTTTTTCAAAAAAATCCAAATCAGAAGACTTAAGTATTCCTAAAACAACTCGGGTATGCAAATCTTCTGTTTCAACCTTAATTTTTATGCAGTCTAAATACAGATTAAATATCTCTGATGAAAATTTAGCATCCAAGCCTGATTCAGTAGTCGTGCCTGTATAATCCCAGCCACTTGGGAGGCTGAGGCAGGAGGATCACAAGTTTAAAGCTAGCCTCAGTCATTTAGGGAGGCCCCCAGCAACCTAGAGACCCTGTCTCAAAATAACAAATAAAAATGGCTGGGGATGCGGCTCCGTGGTTAAGTGCCCCTGGGTTCAATCCCTGGTGTCCCCTCAAAAACGAAAGAAAATTCAACATCCAAATTAAGTTAGGCTGTAGGTGTAAAAATTCGCACAGGATATTGATTTGGTTTTTAAAAAGTAAAAGATCTCTCTAACGATTTTGTTGATTACATGTTTGAAAGGTGATATTTTGCACATATTGGGTTAGTTCGTAGCTATTTGGTTAGATAAGTTGTGGCTTCTAGAAATTTGTGAATTATCTACATGGCTCATGTATTGCTATGGGACACGCCGTGTCGCGTGCTGTCCCTCCACTCTTTCCCATCCTTCAGAGCTGGGCCCAAGGACTGCCTCCTCCGACCGGCCTCCCTCAGGGGCTTATTTCCTGGTACTCACGTCCACAGCTCCAAGTCCAGCCAGTGTTGGCCTGCCCTTCACGCCCACCATTTGCAATTAGGAATCTGCTTCTCTGCTGAGGGGATGCAGGCCTGTCTGCAACCAAATCTCTGAGGTGCAGGAGAGCCGCGCTGCATCTGCCTGGCTCCCTGCTGCAAACCCTGCACCTCATCCAGAGCCCAGAGGGTGCCGCATGCCACAGGAAGTCAGTCCACCCATCCTTCCTTTCAACCTGACCTCTCCTCCTCCTCCTTCTTTTTTTTATCAACATGATTGTGTATGTTGTTTTTTTTTTTTTAAGTTGTAGATGGACATAATTCTTTTATTTATTTTTTATATGGTGCTGAGGATCAAACCCAGAGCCTCACACATACCACTGAGCCACAACCCCAGCCCCTCTCCCTCCTTCTTGATGGCTCTAGGATTTACTGTTCCCTTTGGTTTAGTCCCCAGCCATCTCAGAGAGCCTGTGCACCCGTTTTCCCTGGGAAAGCCACCTTAGCCCTTCAGGACACAGACTCTGCCCTCCCAGGTGGGAAGTCCTCCTTTAGAGCTGGCCTAGAGCCCTTTGCTCCTCCTTAGGGTTCTTAGAGCAGTACCTCTTGAACTGGGAAGTGCTTGCTGATGACCTGGACCCCCCCTTCAAATGCAGACTCTGGCTCATCAGGTGTGGGATGGGATCTGAGTTCTCATTCCTAACAAGCCACCAGGTGACTATGTCACTGCCAGTCCACGGACCGCATTCTGAGTAAGAAGGCTGTGAGAGAGCCTGGTGATCACCCTTCCTAGAGTCCTGGATTTCTTTTCCTGCTCTGGATCCTTTGTCACAGAGGCCATTAGGGGCCTCTGAACTTTGACCCTGACCCTTCTTGCTCCCATGTGGACCTCCCGATCCTCAAACCCTGAAGAGGAACATGGTGCCAGTGACTACTGCTGGTTTTTTTGTTTTGTTTTGTTTTTTAATTTGAAATAAACCTTTAAGCAGTCAGGTCAGCCCTGATAGGTATCATGGCTGTGTAACAATAAGTCTCCAACCATAAGGTCCCACAGCTGATCCGGGTGGGAGGAGGCGTCGCCCTGCGGTCCTCCAGCTTTGGCTCTGTCCGCCACTCCTGGCAGATGCGATCCCAGCAGCTCCTCCCAAAGGTTCCACTCTGCAAAGTTGGGGTTTGGATGCTGGGAAATGTTCTGACATGTCCACTGGGGCACATCTTAAACCGAGTGTGTACCGCCAGGCCAAAGGATGAAAGCGTCTTCTGGTGGCCTCAGGGGTGTGTGTGTGTGTGTGTGTGTTTGTGTGTGCGTGCGTGCACACGTGTGCACTGCCTCCGATGATCCAGTTCTGGAAAGCTTTCATCACGCAGAACAGCTCTGGGCTCCTCTGTGCAGGCCTGGTATCTGGACGCTGAGCCTATGTGGGCCCCACAGATGTGAATGGCCCCACTGTCCCAGGCTGCTGCTGCTGCTGCTGCTGCTGCTGCCCCTTGCGTCTCCGAGAGCCGGAGCCCCCCTCCTTGCCCTCCTTCCTGGCCAGGTTCCTGTTGGTATTCTCTCGACGGCCCTGGCCCTGCTTCCTCCTCTTCTGCCCTGCAACAAACCCACGGCAGGAAAAATCAACAGAGGATGTGCTCAAGAGTCCCAGGAGGGGAGTGACGAAAAGGCTGGGACGGGAAGCCCAGCGACTCCTCTGACCAGCAGACACTTCAGAGAACCCGCAGCATAAGGACTAAGAGCAGGTTCCCTACCCTCAGTACATGCTGGGTACCCTCCTCAGACCCCGGATCCCAGTGGGTCTAGCTTTTCCAGGTGTTGGGTGCAGTCTCAGCACAGGCAAGACAGTCCCCACCCCTGCTCCTCACTGGGTACCTCTGGGGCCAGGCAAGGAGCAGCAGCCACCTCATGACCAAATGCAGGCTACGGGACCTTGTTTGAATCACGGTAAGTCTCTGGGGCTTAGCCCTCTGGCTATCTGACCCCTGAAGGCCCTTCTAACATGAACACCCAGAAGAAATGGGGAACTGCAGGAACAGTGACCACAGAAGTTCCCTGCTCCTGCCATGGCATCCTGGGGCACTGCCTTCCGCCAGGACAGGGCCCCCAGTCTGGACGGCATAGGGCCTCGAGTTGAGCATTCTCCATCTGGCCTTGCCCTGGGCACCAGGCAGGACACAGAGGTGACTGACCCCGGGGAGGCAGGGGTTGCTGCTCACCCTCAGGACACGGCGTCCTCTGCACTGTGCACCTCCGGGTCTCCTTGGTGTCAGCGCAGGCGGCGTGGTCCCCCCCAGGAGCATGAAGCACCCTGCGCGTCCGCTCCTCAGAGCCCTTCCGGAAACCACAGAGCTTCTTCTTTTTGGAGCAAGGGCCCCAAGGGGACCACTCGCTCATTTCACATTGTGCTGGTAGGAAGAGAAGAGGAGAAGGAAATATGGGGGGCTCCTCCCCTGGACCAGAACAGGGCAACCTCATCCACCTGTCCCTGGCCCGGGCCTCAGGCCAGAGCATCTTTAGTCCAGAGGGCAGAAGGGCCTCGGGGAAGCCCCAGCAGGTGAGTGTGGCGGGATAAGCTTTCTCTGCACAGCGGTCCCAGGACACATGATCCCTGACCGGACCCCGCCCTGCCACTCACTCCACCTGGGGTCCTGGAGGCTGTGAGGCACCCTCTGCCGCTTACCAGGACTGCTGCACTCCGTAGTGCCGTTGACAGCGATGGAGCCCTCTGGACAGGCCGGATAGCAGCGGCCCTTGTGCAAGTACAAGCCCTCCTGACACCTGGTGCAGAAGTTGTGGCTGAAGCAGGCCTCGCAGTGCTCGATCTTGCATTCTGTGGACAGCACCAGAGTCGGGGTCTCTGGCCCAGCTGGGAACAGACCCTTCCCCTCATCCCAGCCCCAAAGCCCACCCACCCACACTCACCCACATGGAGGCCAGAACCTTGGCCTACCACTGTGATCTCAGAGGAAGCTTGGGAGAGGAGCGGAAGCAGGGATGAGGGCAGATGGGGGGGAAGAGTCTGAAGTGATCATTCTTGAGGGCTGGTTGGGACTCTCCCCTCCATCAGCCAACCCAAAGCCAAACCCAGGCTCAAGCCCTGGAACCCAAGGTAAGGCCCACAAGAGCTGGTTTTAGAGAAGAAGTTGGGGGACCCTCTGTGCCTGGTGGGGGTTGTGGGAGGAGTGTTTCCCAGAGGGCCCCCTACCCAGGGTGGAACTGAGGAGTGGGACGACCCCTGGAGACCGCTGTCGGGGCTCCCTCCTCCACCGCTGGGCATCCAGGGCATCCCAACCTTGTTCTCCTGCCCTGGGCAGAAGGAATCTGTTCGGAGGAGCAGGGAGCAATCCCAGGGCAAATTCCTCTCCCTGTGCAAGGCCAAGTTCCAGGAACCACCTTGGTTGGACTCCTGGGTCCCTCCCTGCCACCCTCTTGCCAGCTCTCTCCTTGGTAGGGAGGATGGCTCTGCAGGGCTTGGCTGGGAACGGGCAGCCCTTTCACAATCTCTCCCCTCCCAGTCTCTGGAGCCCGAGGCCCAGGCTTCCAGTTTCCCAGGAGCCAGCCCAGCCAGGAGCCCCTCTCCCGAGGATCAAGAGCAGAGCGGGGGGGAGCTAGTACTCCCATTTTAAAGATGAGGGAGGCTGAGATATGCCCAAGGTCACGAAATGCATAAACAGCAGGGCTGAGATCAGAACCCAGTTGGTGGAGCTCAGGCCAGACATTTCCCCTCCAAGTCTCTAAGTTATCCGCTATAAAAAGGGTACCATCCCCATGGCCCTGCTTCCATAAAAAGGTCAAAGGATCAACTGACATGAGGTGGGAAAATGTGAAGAGATGGGAGGGACATGGCCACTGTTCACCCGGTGTGCTGAGTGTCCCCAGCATGTTGCAGCTGCAGTTACAGGGATGGAATGGAGCCCAGGCCTTGGAGCAGGGAGAGCCGTGGTTGGTATGGAAAAGCAGGGTTGGAAGACCAGAGCGAGAAGAGAGTGAAAGGGTGGCAGCCACACTTAGATTTCTTGGTGGCCAGTGTGGTGCCAACGGTGGTTTTCAAGCAGAAGTGGGAAGCCATAGGCTGGGTGTCTTGGAAGCATCTTTCTGGCTGTGGTGCAGAGGGAAGGCTGGGGGACCATACAGCCTGGAGCACAGATGAGCAGGGGTCCAGAGGAGAGACCCCGGACCAGGCTGGGAGCCAGGCGGAGAGCGTGGCAATGAGGAAGGAAGGGAGCAGCCAGCATTTGGTTACTGGGTGGATGGGGGCAGCACAGGCGGGAGGCTGGCTGCCAGGTCTGTGGCTAGGGCCATGTGCCGGGATCCTGAACTGACCTGAGAGCACAGGCAGGTGCAAGCGTCAGGGAGGATGGGGCCTGAGTCTGGACAAGGAGTTGGGAGTGCAGGTGGGATAGCTGGGGCCATGTCTGGCTGGCAGCCGGACACCTGAATCAAGAGCCTCGTCTGCTCTCACCAGCGTCCCCTCCACTCCTCTCACCAACCACCAACAGCTCAAAGCACCCTTCCCGGGCGCCCAGAGCCGGTGGCACCCCCGCTCCAGCGCCGACACTCACTGATGCACTTGTTCATCTCAGGGTTGCGGGCGTCAAAGTATCCGGGCGGGCAGGACGGCAAGCAGACGCCCACCTGGCGAATGTCGTTCCTCTCCAGCAGGATGAAGAGCTTGGGCGAGCACTTGAGGCAGCCGTTGACCTCGGAGCAGAGCTCACAGCCTTTGGCACAGGCCTGACTCCCCTCGGCGCTGACTGCAAGGGCAGGGCAGGCGGGCATGAGGGGACGCTGAAGGAGAGAGCCCCAGCCCCGTCCTTCCAGGCTCCCACCAGGACAGGGGGAGAGTAGGGGGTGTCATTCTGCAGCAGGAATGTGCTCAGGAAACAGCCAGGCGGGCAGCCCTCTGAAAGGCTGTTTTATGAACACCCCCAGAATCCTCTCGCCAGGGAAAGAGAGTGGACGCCTGGAGTTAGGGCTCCCAGGACCCGATGTGCCCCCCGAGCTCCAGACACAAGTTCACCCCGTCAGGCTCGCTCTCCCACCACCAGAGAAGCAGCTGAAGCAACCCCCTTCCTGGAACCTGCCCTGACTCCCCACAAAGAGGAAAAGTCCAACCTCAAGTTCAGAAGGACAGTTTTTACTCCCCTGACTGAGTTCTTTTTTTTTTTTAATATTTATTTTTTTTTAGTTTTCGGCGGACACAACATCTTTGTTTGTATGTGGTGCTGAGGATCGAACCCGGGCCACACGCATGCCAGGCGAGCACGCTACTGCTTGAGCCACATCCCCAGCCCCCCCTGACTGAGTTTTAAGGACAAGACAGGTAATGGATCAAGCTATCAGAGAAAAGGATCACCTACCTAGAGACAGAAAGACGACTAAAATAACCTATGTCTACAACAGTGGTCTCAACCAGGGACGATCTGGCTTCCCAGGGGCCGGTGGTAATGTCTACGGACATCTTTGACCCTCACAACTGCAGAGGTGGGTTGCCCTGGCATCAAGTGGATAGAGACCAGGGATGATGTAAGCACCCTCTAAGGCATGGTGTGGCCGTCTTCAGCAAATAATTATTATATGAGAGGGGACACCAGGGATGGAACTCAGGGGCACTCAATCACTGAGCCACATCCCCAGCCCTATTTTGTATTTTATTTAGAGATAGGGTCTCAGTGAGTTGCTTAGCACCTCACTGTTACTGAAGCTGGCTTTGAACTTGAGATCCCCCTGCCTCAGTCTCCCGAGCCTCTGGGATTATAGGCATGTGCCACTACTCCTGGCAGCAAATAATTATTTGATTCAAAATGTCAGTGGTGCCGAGATTGAAAAATCCTGTCTTAGAACCATCCTGAGAGGCAGAGTGACCTCCAGGTGCAGCGCTGAGTCTCCAAGCTTTGATCTTGTTCCCTGGGCCAACCAACACTCACTAAGCCCCTTCCATGCACCACACACAGGGTGAGCCCTGTGGACAGGGAGGCAGGTGAGCTAGGCAGGGGACTTGGCCTTTCAGCGGAGCAGACACCCACAGACAGGCAAATGCTGACAGCCACAAAGCCAAGCAATAGTGGACTCAGCAAGAAAGGGGAAGGATTCACAGAGAAGTGTAGAGAGCTTTCCTTCTGGAAAATGGAGATAAGGTTCTAGAAGGAGTAGGACCACAGAGGTAAAATACCACAGAGGGGAACTGCAGATAATTGGGGGTGGAGATGAGGGGAGGTAGTGAAAGATAAGATATCCTATCTATATATCTCATACTTGAACTTGATCCTGTGACGTGGCATTTTCCAAAAGAGTATTCCTTGGAAGGAGATTCCCCTAAGTGTTAATAGGAAGTCTTGGAGAAAAGGCTACTGTAACAGGTAAGACCAGGATCCCCTGGGTCAAACAAATGCAAACAGGATTTGTTACAGCGAGACTTTTTGCAAACTCTATGACACTCTCATGCAGAGCCTCTAAGAGAGGGACAGAGGAAGCTGCGTTTCCCCAACATTTTGGGCACAAACCATTTATTCGGAAGAGTCTTTCTTGGGACCTCTTCAGAGCTGCTTGGACAACAGGGAGCCATGGGAAAATGACTCAGGAGCGAGATCCAATTTTCATTGGACATAACTGGTCCAGTCTACGTATTGTGAAGACTCAACTGGGAACCAGGGTGGAGACCAGAGACCAAAGGAATATTTGGGTGGAGCTGACTCTATTCCTCTAGGTGAGAAAGTAAGAAAGCCTTAAACAAAACTGTGGGTAGTGGAGACAGAGGAGACATGCTTAGCAGAGAGGAGCGGCCAGGAGCCTGGGTGATTCTGGCCTAGGGTGCAGGTGAACTGTGGGGTCAATCACTAAAAGAGGCCCAAGGGAAGAGAATCGAGTGGAGAAGGAAGGAGAGTAGTTATAAGGCACTTAGGAGAAGTCAAGCAGCAAGAAGCTGTCGATACACCTGGAGCCAGAGCTGGAAAAATCAGAATAGAGATAGCAGGAGAGAGCTCGGCAGCATGGACCCGGAACTCAGGCTGCAGACCCAGATGGACCTCAGGCCTAAGTCTCAGACTGAGAGCCCAGGCCAAATACTGGATCCTGTGCCTCCCTTCCCACCCCAGAGAAAGGGAGGTGGGGGTGTCCACCCTGGGAGGAGTACAGACCGCAGGGACGACTCCTGATTCCAGCACAGGAGAGCAAGTAAGACACAGGAAGGAAGGCAGAGGGGGAGGGGAGACGAAGACCACCGCGGGCATCACTGAGCAGTCTCAGTCCTAACCACAGAGTGTCGCTAAGTGTGACACTGACCCCGTGACAAGGTCGGCTCCTAGGGGCTTGACAAGCACCACCTCATTTCACCCCCGTCAACACCCCCGAGGTGGGTGCTGTTATTATCTCCCATCCTCATTGTCACAGATGAGGAAATGAAAAGGTTCAAGTTCTCCACCCGGATTCCTCAGCCAGAATGAGTTCCAGGCAGAGGGAACCACGCATATAAGAGAGAGGTGTGGGGCAACAGGAGGGAGCAGAGGAACTGCAAGTGTGGCTGGAGTGATTATTTTTTAAATATGCAATTTATTTGTATAGAGTCAATGTTATTATTATTAATTGTTTGTGTGTGGTGGGGGGGCACTGGGGATGGATCCCAGGGGTGCTCTACCACTGAGCTGCATCCTAAGACCTTTCTATTTTTTGAGACAGGGGCCTGTTAAGTTGCTGAAGCTGGCCTTGAACTTGTGATCCTCCTGTCTCAGCCTCCCGTGTCACTGGCATGAGAGGTATGCGCCACCACATCTGGCAAGCCGATGTTACTATTTCATGAATAAATTTAAAATTTACTATCCTTCTTGTTGGTTTAGAATTGTTTGGGATTATTTTTCTACTCTGGGCCTTTTTTCAGCTATATTACAAATTTATGTCCTTGAAGATTTGAGGTACCGCTTCCCCTTCCAAGATGTTAAAACCCCCCTTACTCATTGTTTTTACTTAAGTCCTTGTTGAAATGAATGTTCCCCCTGGGCTTCTGCCTAGAGATGTGACCACTAGTGGTCCGCCTGGCCGTCCTCTGGAGGGACCTTACCAGACTCGTTGATCCCTTCCTGCCTCCTCCATTGAGGACAGATTCTCCTCAGAGTCCCACTGCCCACCACTCATTCGACCGGCAGCAATGCCTTGCGTGCATTTTTCCCCGTGATGCGCTGGCAAGCGCTCTCCCCCAGCTCCACCCCAACCCTCCTTCAGCGCCATCAGGGGCAGGGCAGGGAGAGCGAGGCCTCCTCAGCACAGGGAAGCAGGAGACTTCAGACAGGAGGCCGAGGGGCGAAGCAGGGGCCAAAGAGGAAGGGCCTCCAGCCCGAGCTGTCCTAGAGGCCAGGAGGAATCAGCAGGGCGCTGGAACCGGGGGCAGGCTGGGGCTTCATGTCAGAAAGACCCCTCTTCAGCAGGCAGGATGGGTTGAAGGACGGCCAAGGGCAAGGGGGAGAAGCCAGGTGAGGACTCAGGGAGAAGAGCTGGGGCTGAGCCAAGAGGGAAGAAAGGATCGAGGACCAGGGGACGGGTTGTGTGGGAAGACCAGGGACAGGGCACAGCACAGGTCAAGGTGACCTGGAGATGGGGGGCCCATGTCAGGGGACAGCTATTGGGCCTTTGCTGAGACGGGGGCCCCAGGAAGAGGAGCAGGTGTTTTGGGGGGGTGACATGGTGAGAACTTAGGCTCTAGGTGTGGCCAGGTGTGGCCGCTGTGGGGCACCCAGGGGAGTGAGCCAGCTGCATACAGGGGCCTGGAAATGGAGATGCCGAGTCCTTAACGTGAAAACAGTCACCAAAGGCATCTAGAGCAGGAAGAGGAGCCCGACACTTAAGAGAAGGACAGAAGAATGAAGGTCCCCCCAAGAGGCTGAGAAGGGGGCAGCAGACACTGAGAAGCATATTGCACCTCGGAGACTGAGGGGAAGAGCGCCCTCCATGGAAGGACGAGGCGTGGACGTGCCCAGTGCTGCTGAGATGTCACCTGGGGGAATCAGTGAAGGGTGCTGGCCACTCTGGTGGGGAGCTGAGTGCCTGGCAGAGGAGTAAAAGAACGGTGAGGAGGCAGAGAGGCCGTGCGCCATCTCTTTCTAGAAGTGGCTGCGGGCGAGGGGTGAGGACTGCCCTTGGTAGTGAACACCCTGGGAGTGTGTGGGTGAGGAGGGGACCGGGGCTGAGCCCTGATGACACCTGCAGTCTACAGAGAAGCAGAGGGAGAGGGGCTCCAGAAAGCTGAGAAGCAACCCTTGGAAATGCAGGAGGAGATGCAGAGGGTGAGGATAAAAACCAAGCAGAAAGTCAAATGCCGTGGCGCACACCTGAAATCCCAGAGACTGGGGAGGCTGAGGTAGGAGGATTGCAAGTTTGAGGCCAGCCTCAGCAACTTCGTGAGGCCATCTCAAAATCAAAAAATTTTAAAAAGGTTGCTCAGTAGTCAAGCAACCCTAGGTTCAATCCCTGGTACCAAAAAAAAAGTTGAAAAGGAAGAGTTCTTTAGGCACTGGGCTGGAGGGAAGCCAAGGCCAGTGAGCCCTAGAGCAAACCTAGAGATGTGACCACTGGTGGCCATTGACTGGGTGATGTCAGGAAGGGCAGTTTCATGGAGGGGGAATGTCGGCCAGACCCCAGTGAGCTGAGGAATGAGCAGAGGGAAGGAGGTGGGAATAAAGCAAGGAGAAGGTTGAAAATCAGAGAGCATAGAAAGAGCCAGCGTAGGACCCGGGCGCAGTGGCTCATGCCTATAATCCCAGCAGCTCAGGAGGCTGAGACAGGAGGACTATGAGTTCAGGGCCGGCCTCAGCGAGACCCTGTCTCTAAATACAATATAAAAAAGGGACTGAGGATGTGGCTCAGTGGTTAAGCACCCCAGAGTTCATCCTGGTAATAATAATAATAATAATAATAATAATAATAGAGAGAGACAACATGGAGAGAAGAAATGGGGGTGGAATGTGATTCCAAGACTCAAAGGCAGAGTAAATTTGATGGAATTGAAGACCTGAGGATACAGGAGGGTCAAGATACAGAGGTCAGGCTGGGTGCGGTGCCCCCAGCTATTTAGGAGGCTGAGGCAGGCGGATCACAGTTTGAGGCCAGCCTCAGCAACTTAGTGGGACCCCGTGTCACACTTTAAAAAAAGGGCTGGGGTGTAGGTTAGTGGTACAGTGCTTGCCTAGCATGTGTGGAGCCCTGGGTCCTCAGTACAATGGGGGGAAACAAACAAACAAACCCAAAAGATCAGGTGATGAGAGACTGAAGTCAAGGACAAGGGACAAAGAACTAAGGGATCCGAATTCCATGGGAGTTTGAGGCTCAGAAAGGGGAGGGGGCTCAGCGATGGGCAGGGAGGGAAAGGGATGCTTCTAAGGGGAATAAAAGCCAAAAAGTGTTCTCAGCTTGATGGGCAAACGTGTGGGCAGGGAGGGGACAGAGCCAGAGAGGAGGGCTCGGTGGGTTCAACATTGAGAACAAGACTTCCAATGCAGGGTTCCAGGAAGACGTGTTTGAGGGATGCCTTCAATTCCAGGGGACTTGTTCCCCAGGCACTTGCTGCAACCTGACAGGTGCTCAGGACTGCTGGGGGCAGGGACATGGTGATAGAGAAAGGAAGGTCCCCCAGGGCCTGGGAAGCAGGGCTGGCTCTGCAGGGCAGCCAGTGGTGATGGGGCCTTGGTGGGGGAGGCCCCTGGGTCTCACCAGGAAGAGGGTGCACCCCATGGGAGGAACAGCCTGGGCACAGACTCAGAGGCACTGACGTCCGTGGGTGGGAAACAGGGCTTTTTACTATCGGTGAGGAAAGGGACCGTGGCAGGGTCGGACTGGCCTCTGTCAACCTTGTGCACAACACTTCCCAGTTGCTGGTACTGAGTCCCGTCCTGTCTCAGCCTGCCCCTCCCTGAAGAATGGATTCTGTCCCACTGTCCGTCCTCCCCCAAGATCTTTGCTTCTTCCAACTCCCAACGGCCTCCTCCCCAGGCATCTCTTTTAAACCAGAAATCTCATGGTGCCCCAGCTCTGCCTAAAATCCGTCAATGATTCCTTATTACTGACAGAAAGAAGACCCAGCTCCTGGAGGGGTCTAAAACGTTATCATGAGCTTACCCCCCCCCCATCTCTCAATGCTTCCCTAAACAATATCTATTTCTGTTTTCTGGGCATGTCACCTTATTTCATACCTCTGTGCCTTTGCTCAAGATGGCCTCCTCCTGAGCCTGACAAACTCCTACAAGCCTCAGAATTAGAGTCACCTTCTCTAGGAAGTCCTCCTAGATCTCACCTCCCACAAGTCTGGATGGAGTATTTCTGTGTTCCCACGTCCCCAGTATTTGATCACTTCATGTTGTTATTATCTGGTAATAAGTCTTGTTCTCCCACTAGAAAGAGCTTTGGAGGGCACAGCCTCTTACTTTTGAACGGAGGCCCAGTCAAGCAGTGAGACTCCTAAGGAGCAGGGCCCCACAGGTGGAGGGTGGGGGAGGCAAGGTGTGTGCATAGATCTCAGAGGCAACCCCTGAAATGTGGGGAGTGGGATTGGACAGGAATGCAGGACTCAGGGGGAGCTGGCAGGGGTCATGGGGATGGAGAGAACTGGCCATGACTCAGAGGAGCATTGGCCTTGGTTGTGGGGTGGACCCAGCCTTGGAAGAGGTAGATTGAGCAGGCAGGGAGCCTTCTCAGGGATGCATCTGTTCCTGGCACCCAGGACCAGCTACTGCATGGAAAACAGGCCCTGGGGATGTCCCCCTGGGAATACCGAGGTTTTTTATTTTATTTCATGCTGAGGATTGAACCCAGGGCCTAGGCAAATGCTAGGCAAATGCTCTGCCACTGAGCCACACCCAAGCCCTCCGGATTCTTTAACTAACCATGAACTTAGCTTAGACTTTTTCTCACCTGTGCCAAGACTGCCTCATAGCTTAGCTTGTTTGCCTGCCCGTAGCCCCTCTCCAACCTCTACCGCAGCTGGCCCATGTGCCCCCAGACTGAGACCTCTCAGTGGCTCCTCCTCACCCACAGCTCAAGTCAGGGCAAGTCCAAATTCCTCCACCTGATGAGTACAAAGAGCTTCAAATCATCTGACCTCTGCCCAGGTCCACAGCATCATCTCCCTAGGACCCTCAGCTCATGTCCCTCTAGCCTAAGGGGTTCTGGGCTTCCTATTTCACCAAGGGAACACTTCTTCTCAACAGCAAAGATCCCCAGCATGAAAACCAGATGCGAGCCGGGAGTGGTATTGCAGACCTGCAATCCCAGTGACTCGGGAGGCTGAGGCAGGAGGATCCCAAATTCAAGGCCAGCCTGGCAACTTAGTGAGGCATTAAGAAACTTAGTGAGACCCTGTCTCAAAATAAAAGCAAAAAGGGTTGGGGATGTGGCTCCATGGTTAAGTGCCCCTGGGTTTAATCCTCAGAGCCAAAAAAAAGAAAAAAAAAAAAAGCAGATATGAGCACAGCTGCCCAGGTGAAACCCTGAGGCTCCCCAGAACCCCATTTTTAAATCATTTCCCTGCTACTCCCTGCTGCTCTCCCTTCTGGAACAAACGCACTGGGCCTCCCCCAGTTCATCGGGGCTCTCTCTGCCCTGGGGCTGCCTCCTGTCGCAACAGTCAGGAGGCTGGATTGCTGGTCACCTCCCCATCACCGTGAGCCCCTCAAGAGTCCTCTCTGTGATCCGGGGCCAGCTCTGCCGGTTCTCAGTGACTCTTGCTGGATGACCCCATGAATGCACAGGAAAGGGGCTCTGAGCTTGGTCAGTGTGGGAGGGGACGCGAGCTCGGGGTGGCGGCAGGACAATGAGATGGGGCAGAAAGGCACCATTCGGGCTTCAGGGGCTCAGGAAGGAATGGGGCCAGGAGTGGCCGAGGGGCCCTGAGATCAGATCGGGTGGCTCAGGGAGGGGTACTGGGTGAGAGAGATGGGAGTGAGAGAGGGCTCAGGAAGGGGACTCGGAGGGGGTGAGGGTCGGTGGCGAGGGTCCTGAGGAGCGAGGAAGAGCAGCCCTTGCCAGGGGGCTTCATAAGCCACCGCCAAAGAGAAGTTCTGGCTCAACTTCCCTGCGCCTCCGAGCAGGGGACCCTCCCTCGGGCTCCGGTCAGGCATTTCTGGGTCCAGAGGTGGCTGATAACGGTTTGCATGTGAGATGGCCCCTAAAAGCGCCTGTGTTCTCCCGGAATCTCCAGGTGACTGGAGGAGGTGGGCGTGGCCGGAGGAGGCGGGTCCCGGGGGCGTGGCCTGCGCGGGCGCATCTTCCCTCCCGCCCCTTCCCCTCCCTGGGCTCCTGGCTGTCACCTGAGCCGCTCTCCTCCACCGTGAGGCTCTACCTCCTCACAGGCCCAGAGCGCAGGACTCAGCCCACCATGGACTGAGTCGCTAAAACATGAGCCGAATGAAACTTTCCCTCCTCTAAGTTGTTCTTGTCGGGCATTTTGTCACAGTGACACAAAGCTGACTAGCTGATGTAAGGCTCAGGATCAGAGCTCTATTGGGTGGCTGCGGGCAGCCTGCTGTCATGTGGTCAAGGGACATCAGACCCACCCAATGGCCCTAAGACTCATATGCATACAGCAAGCCCCCTTCTGTGCCCCCCCCCCCCCCCAAACAACCTGGTGCCCTTCTGTATGGTGGAGAGCAGCCCACACAGGTGCCTGGTCGCGGTCCTCCCAACACTCCCCGGAAAGCCCAGGGCAAAATGGTCCACATGTGGTTTATTTAACCACCGCTGCATCCCCGACTCTGCACAGAGCTTGCTGTTTTATAAAGAGCTTAAAATGCATATCTAGGGCTTGATGTAGCTACCAGTAGAGCACTTGCCTCGCACGGGGGAGGCCCTGGCCTCCCTCCGCAGCAGCACTAAAACAAAAATACAAAACAAAATAGCTGCTATCTCATGTGAGCCTTACTATATTCCCGTAGGATTACATTTCAGCTTTACAATAACCCTTAAGTGACAAGCACTGCCTCACAACTGCACACCCTGTATCTCCTCTGAGCCTCCATTCATTCCGGACCCTCACTGCACCCAGTCTTTCCCCACACCTCCCCCACCCTTGACTCCCACTGCCAAGGTTGTCTGTCACATCATTTGGTAACAAAAACCGGTTTACATGCTGCTGAGGCTGCCGGATGCCACTGTATCAAAAGTGGGCACATGGAGAACTGCTGCAGTAGATTAGCCACGGTCGAAGCAAGAGGCCCTTACTGAGGCTCAGTCCACTTCGTTTTTGTTGTTGTTGTATTTTTGGTCCAACAGATTTGAACCCAGATTTTTTGGCCCCTGGTGTGTGGCCCTGCATGTGAACGTAAGCAGAATCGTTTGTGCATATTCCATGAGTATTGCTGGTCTCTCTCTCTCTCTCTCTCTCTCTCTCTCTCTCCCTCTCTCTCTCATTTCGGAAATAGAGGAGACTGATTATAAACCACTAAACCACATCTGGCCGGTGGAGTCCAAAATACTGGCCACAACAGAGGAGAGGGGAGGGAAATCAAGGCCCGCTGCTGATTGAACCTAACCGGCTCTAATTGTCTGTTAAGCCAGGGATTTTCAGCTTCACCAATTCTCTGAGCTTCCCTCCCTGGGCTGAGTCCTGGCCTCGGCCGCTCCCATCCTCCCATCGTCGGGACCCAACAAGACTCTACTGCCTTTCAGCCTCCCCTGGCGGGCGGGCGGGCGGCATCCATCTGAAGGAAAAAGTGAAGCAAGAGGGAGTTGGGAGAGACTTCAGGAAGACTTCCCGCCTGCGGGCGTGACATCTCTGCGGTGTACGTGGAAATAGACCAGGCCTTGGGAGTCCAGAAGCCCTCGGCCCACTCCCTGCAATGGGTCACTGTCACATAATGCCACTCCCATGACATAACAGCCTCATCACAGGAGATGATAAGCAGAGGGAAGGGAGTGCCTGGTGGAGGGGAGGGGGGGTCCCACACCTTAATCTTGATCTTTACTGAGCTCTGGGCCACTGTCACCCTGAGAAGGGTTCCCACCATGACTGTGTGGGCTCAGGCCCATCCCTTCACCTTTGTTAGCATTGGACAGAGAGAGATTTGCTTTTCCTTTTTAAGCTGAGAACCTTTTGTTCCAATGACATCTCTTTCTTTCTTTCTTTCTATTTTATTTTTTATTTTTGTGGTGCCGGGGCTTGAGTTCAGGGCCTTGTGCACGCGAGGCAAGCTCTCTACCAATGGAGCTAGATCCCCAGCCCCGCAGTGACATCTGACATGGAGGCTCCCCATGAGAGCAGGGGCAGTGGAGCTGTCCCCGTGCCAGGCTGCCAGGGCAGCGCCCGGCCTGCTGGCCTCCCATCTCCCCCACAGCTCCCAGTCCCACTGGGCCTGCTTTAAAAGCCACAGGACAGCAGGGTCTCATGACTTCCCTCCTGCCCTGTTCGTGGGGCGGGGGAAGCCCTTTGTGGCCCACTACCCAGAGGTGCAGAGTCCCCCAGGGACCACGCCTCAGCCGTGACAGAAAGCCAGGAGCCCCCGACTGGGATCTGGTGAGGGGGGAACCCAGCACGCTGCCCGCCACCCGCGTCTCCATGGACACCACAGAGCTGGTGTCATGTCAGAGGGCTCATTCACAAACGGATCCTCACAAGACAGGGGTTAATCCAGAAAGCAGTGTCTACACAGGGGAACACAGACGGCGAGGGGGTGGGAGGGAGCAGGTGATCTCCACAAACCCACCCAACAACTGCGAGGCCAGGGACCTGGAATGGGCCCAGGGGAGATCTGAAGGGTCTCCACTACCCAAGACCCGGGACCCCCCTCCCACCGCCAAGGCCAGCGGAGGCCCAGCCCCCTGCCCGGTACTCACTCCGCCTCTGCCTCTTGCCCTTGATCCCCCGGCTGCCGACGGCCAGGTGCAGCCAGCTCAGAACCAGGGCCACCACACACAGCCCAAGCCGCATGCTCACTGGCCGGCTCCAGGCCCCCGCAGGAGGGGTGGTCGCTGGGGGGTGGACAGCGCAGGGCTCTTGCTAACGCCTCTGGGGCTGGGTCAGCAGCAGGAGGCCCGGGTCCGGGCCAGAACCCAAATCCACCATAATCTCAGCGGGGGACAGAGAGGGCATGGGAAGCCTCCATCAGCCCAAATGGAGGTCCTCAAAGCCACCTCAGAGTGTCACATGGGAGTCCTCTCTGTCACTTCAGCAGGGGTAACTCCCAAAAACAACCTATGGGGAAGGAGAGAGAAGGGTTAAGTCTGTGGTACCTGGGAGCCCCGGGCTCCATGCCTCCTACCTCCCCCTGTGTTTCCCTACCCAGAAGATGCTGAGAACTCAGAACCTCTGGACACCACCAGTTACCCACCTGGCACCAGGGAGAAGAAATCTGCTCCTCTTCCTGTCCTGCCGAATTCCCTAACCTGACACCAGAGCCGGCTACCTGAGTAGCTGGAATATGGTGAACGCTCAAACCAGATTTGTGGCTTAATGATGATTTTTTCAATAATGGGAACCAGCTGGCCCCACCCTGACTACTATTGGCCAGCTCTAACTGGAAGTCCTTCTTAAGTCTACCCTACAGACCTCATGCTGCAGTAGCAGCTTGATACTTGTCCTTCCATGAGTGGCCCCTCAGCCTTCTCTTCCCAGTGCTGAGTCACCCATGTGCCTTTCACCTGTCCTGGAGCTAGAGCAGTGGCCCCCGGCAAGCTGGCAGACTCTGATGGCCCTCCCGGCTTGGCGGGAGAAAAGGAAGTAAGGCTTCCCCAGGCCACAGAAACTCTGACACAGCAGGCCCGGCGGGTCTGGCCTTTGTGAGGGGATAAAAGAGGCAGCAATGCCCGCCCTGGTCAGGGACACAGAGAATGGCGATAATCCCCCAGCCCCATGAGAGCCAGGGCTCTGGACCTGCAGGCTGGGGTGATGGGGGCAGGGGAGCTGGGCCCTCCCTCGTGAGATGTGTCTGGGAAGTGGGACATCTGAGCCTCGAGCCCGACCTGGGAGTGAGGACGGAACCCTGCTCCCCACCTACAGGGTCTGCCCATCCGATGCCCTCTCACACAGAGGCCCGCCCACACGGCCTCCGCACACTTCTGCACACCTGCCCACGCTCACACGGGGACACAGGGAACACCCGGCCCGCAGCAGCGGAAGCCTTGTGGATGCCAGGGAAGCATCACCTTCCTGTCCACTGGTTAGTCACCTTTGGAAAGTCACTTAGCTTCTCTGAACCTCGGTCTTTTCATCTATAAGATGGGGATACTCAGGACTTTCACAAGCTGGCTGAGGGTCACTGAGTTTGGCTTACTGATGAGGAACCTGAGGTACTGGCATGCAGGTGTCCTCCTCCCCTGTCCTAATCCTTTCGCCTCTCATCTCCTCGGTGCCCAGTTTACCCCCTCGCCTCTTGGAGAGGCCCCAGGAGAGCCCACCTGCACAGGAGATAAATCATTATCCCCCCAGGGAGTTCAGTACCTCCCTCCTCAGCCTCTCCCACTAGCTTTGAAGGCCAGACACACTCAAGTGGTTAAGCTGCCTGGAAGAAGTGTTTACACGAGGGCTGATGGATCCCACCTGCTGCTGTGGCCGGAGCCAGCGGAGATGCCCCCAGCCACCCCCAAATGCCAGCCCCTGCGTGACCTTCAAAGGCTTCCCACCTTCCCCGGCCCCGGCTACACATGTCCTTCACCCAGAGTGTGGATGCCCAGTCCAGTTTACCAAACTAGGGTCTTCAGTCCCCAGTACGCAGCCTCAGAGGCTGGGCGCACAGTTTGATGGTCAAGGGCACAGAGCGCTTTGAATGCTGGCTCTGCGGCTGGCTAGCTTGTTACCCTGTGTTCCTGGCTTAGCTGGTCTAAGCCTGTTTCCTTATCTGCAAGACAGTTGCCTCTGGACACCTTAAATGAGTTACTATATGACACTGCTTTGAGTGCGGCAGGCACACAGGGAGGTCTCAATATCAATATCAATCTCAATATCAACAAAAGCAATATCGACATTTTCTGTGTCACCTGGATACCAACCTTGATCATGAGCATTGACATGCGATTTACTCATTTGCACTGATCTCTGGTTGATGGCCTGGGCACCAAAGTAGCTGCTCAGAGGGACAGGATTTACCTCTGATTCCCCAGAGGGACAGGATTTACCTCTAACAGCACTGGTCAGACTGGGCTGTGAGGACCCCCGGCAGATCCATCCTGCCAGTCCTTACATTTGACAAACACTGCATCAGACAAACTTGGTGTCCCACCCTTTGGCCTAACTGTGTGATCCATGTCTCTAGGGTCCTTGGGGTAGAAAAGGTCCCCTATGCCTCTCTGTGCTCTGTGTCTGCCCACACGGTGCCTGGGTCAGTGCTCAGCAGAGGCTGCCCCCTCCTGAGCCCAGTCCTCCAGGTTCGACCTGGCCACACTCACCTAGCCTCTGCCTGAAGTGATCTTCTGGCCCACTCTCACGGGAATCACCAGGGACCACCGTCTCAGCTGAGAGATGAAGAAGGGGATCCAGATGCAAATTCCATCTGACCAACTGGCACTGGCTTCCTTCACCTCTGGGATCAGAAGTGTTCCAAATCCTTTTTTTAGGGGAAAAATATAACATTTCCAACCCCACAAAGAAGCTAAAGACACATCTATACCAGGGGATGGGAGTGACGCATGTGAGCAGAGCAGGATGTGGCATGGGCAAACCCAGCTCAAGTGGGCACAGGCCATTCGGCTCCAGCTGGGGGCTGATGGGCAGAAAGGATGGCTCAACATCACCAGATCCTCAGGCATTTTGAAAGAGCAGTAGAAAATTCAGGATCCTGGGTGAAATCTGATTTTCAACGTTGCACAGTCTTAGACTACAGATCCTCAGGTGCCAAGCTCCAGAGGGCCACAGGTCCCTGCCTGGAGGTTCCACATCCCTCTGACTAGATCCTGGCCCCCCACAGATGCATCTAGGAAAAGAGGACACCATGGGCTGGGGCGGGAGTGGAGCCAAAAGCAGACAACTTTCTTTTAAGTCGCCTGTCTCTGTCATGATTCTGCTGTCTGGTGTCCTGGGGGCCTTGGGCTATGGCACAGGCAGTCTCGGGGGCTCCTTTCTCTACCCAGAAAGAAAGGGAACTGCTGATGCTCAAAGTGCCCGGCATTGGTGGGGGCTCGGGGTGGGGAGGGGCATTCCTCTCTGCCAGGGTGGGGGTGAGGGTGCCTCCTGCCACCTGACCTGCTCTAGGCCCTCATTTATTCCACCCTAAGGAAGAGGGAGGTAGTATTATATCCCATTTTGCAGAGGTTGGGGTCTCCGTGGCTACCCAGAACGGGGTGCCTGCTGGGTGCTGTGAAGGTCGCTGAGGAATGTGCCCCCTTCCCTGCTTGGGGACTGGACCTGCAGCAGGTGAAAGGGCTGGGGGCCGAGGCCGAGCTGGCGGGAGACCGAGGGATGGATCCGGAAGGGGAGGCTGCGCGTTGGGGAGGGGGACACCATTGGGGGCGGAGCTGGGCGGAGACTCGGTCCTGACAGAGGGCTGGAATCACTTCACCTTCCTGCCTGTAACACTGTCAGGATAAATTGGTACTCCGGCCGGGGCCGATCCGGACCCAAAAATGTAAACCATCCAGATAATTCCTCATTAGCCCTCCCAGGAGCGGCTGCGGGCTGGACAGCTCGGGCTGCGGAGCGGGCAGGCGGCGGGGGGCCGAGTTGCTGGGCTTGGGGGGCGGGACGAGTACGCGCTGCCCAACCTGCCGGGATTAGCTTGTCCGCCAGAGCCGAACCAGGTGCTGGGGCCGTTTTCCCGCCCCCCCCCCAAATCAAGGGACCAGAGAGAGGCTCCTGCAGGCCCCCCCCATCACCGTCCCGAGTGTCCACATTCATCCTCCCTCTCCACCATCCCCGAGAGGCCCCAACAGGTGCCCTAGGAGAGATGGACCGAAGCCCCGGTGGTTACCCCCAAGATCCAAGTTCAAGAGCCAATTTCACAAGAAACCCCGACCTCTAATACCTGCACCCAGAAGTCATCCCTGCTCGCCTCGGGGCCCCAGACGAACAGGGCCCCCAGCTCTGCCCCACCAAGCTGTACCATCTGACCCTCAGCGCGAGCCAGGGAGTCGCGCCACCTCCCTGCGCACCCAGGGCCGAAGGGCACGTTGCCTGCCACGTTGGACCCGGGCCCGGGCTGTGGGAATGGGATGGGGTCACCAGGGACCATGGGACAGGGGGACCCCAAGGCAGTGAGACCAGGGGATCAAGAGCCTCTGTGGCGGGGAGGGTGTGTGACAGGGCTGGTGGACCTAGAAGTTCAGGACTTTATAGGGGGTTGCGGAGGACACGAGGAAGCGATCGGGACCGGGCTGCCCGCTTGCCCTGAGGGGTGACGGGGCGACAGGGTTCGTAGCAGGGAGTCGAGGAGGTGCCTTCTTCCGAGGGATGACCGAGAGAGCAATGGGGCTCCCCGTTCTCCCTCTCCCCCGCCCGAAGGGTAAGCCCCGAATGGGGGCCCGCGGCACCCCAGGTCCCGGGGAAGGGGCGCTAGGAGAGAGGACGGAGCCGCGAAGCAGGGACTCACCTCGGCGCTGCCAGCCGCGGCGGGGGCAGGCCCGGGAGGGGCGAGGGCGCGGCCGGCTCAGCCGCCCGCCGCAGGACTGTCCGGGGCGCCCGGCTCGCCTGCGCTCCGCCCGCCCGTTCCCAAGTTGCTCAATCTGCGGGCGGCTCACGCCCTCCGGGGCCAGCGCCCCACCCGGCGCATCACTCCCGGGGCGGCTCTGTGGCCCCCGCTCTCCGCGGCTCACGGCTCGAAAGCCCCACTGCGGCTCGCCGCGCCGGGCTCTCCGCCCCGCGCTCGTGTCTCCGTCGCGCCTCCGCTCGGCCGGAGCTCCCAGCCGGGAGAGGGGCCAGTCCTCCGCTCGCACGAGGGAGGGAATCCCCCCCTTCGCGGTCCCACCCCCGAGCCGGCCCCCCTTCCTGGGATCCGCAAGAAAAAATGGACTGGAGCGCCGGGCCGGGAGCCGCAGCCCCCTCCCGCACGCCCATGCACCACGCTGGCGCGCTGCGCCCTGAGCGCAGGGCTGGCACGGGAACAAATTCTCTGAACCCCGGCGCAGACCCTCTGCCCCGGTCTCCTCCCTCCCGGGCCGCACCAGTGTCCACACCAGGGGGATCCCAACAGCCTGGGCACCCGCAGCAGTTCAGAGCATCTGGGGGTCTGAAGAGCGCCCGGGTCCCTAGCCAAACCCCAGTTTCCCCATCAAGAACCAGGAAAGTGACAAGGAATAGACTCAACAGAGCTTTGTGTTCCTGGCCACACCCTCCTCCCCTTCAGGATCAAATAATCTTCAAAGCATCTTTCGAGTTCAAAAGAAATACTAAGACCCTGGGCACCCACGAGTTCTCCTCCACACTCCCACACTCCTCGCTGGTACCAGAAAGTGACAGAAGTTACAGAATACAACCTACATTCAAATCCCCACTCGGTCACTTACCAGCTGTGTGGCTATGCCTAAGGTACTTAACCTCTCTGAGCCTCAAGGTTCTCATCTGTTTTGCAGGTTCAGTGAAATGAAGTGTGCAATGCCTGGTGGATGGTAGGAACTCTATAAATGTTTGTGGGATGAGCATTGAAGGGCTGCAGACACCTGCAGTGACCCAGATGATGTTGAAGTTGAGCCTGAAGAGGGAGGGAGGGACACTCACTTCTTAGGGTGGCAAACAGCTGTTCTCCAGCCTCACTTCAGATTGGGGAAAGGAAAATGAGCTAACACTGTCGTTAGTGGAGTCAAGCTGGAGCAGAAAAGATGTACTGATTGTGCGTGGGGTGGGGGTGAGTAATCAAGACAGGCTGTGGAATCTCCTTCCTTGGAGAGGAGGGGGGAGGTCTGACTGGTGAGCCAAGAGCACAGGGTCCTTTTCCACGGCAGGGGAATGGGTGGAATGGCCAGGGAGCAGGGAGCAGGATGGTAGGTTGCCAGAGAAAGCAGAGCCCTGGGATCCCAGATGCCCAGTGTCTGGACTCCCGGAGCCAGAGTGTTGCCAAGTTTGCAGGAGGGGAATGGCCATTTCCGAGTTGGTCCGGGGCCCCTCCAGGCCCCTCCCTCTCCCTCTGCCCCGAGCCTCCCTGGTGTCTAACCAGCTCTTGGCTCTGCTCTGTGCCTAATCAAACAGCCCCAAATGCCGAAAACTCAATGTTTATTTTATTTTATTTTTTTACACACTTGCATAACTCCCTGACAAGCCACGCCAGGCGCTGGGCTTTTGTTTGGTTTTATTTTGTTGCATTTAAGGGAAAAAAGAGAGAGAGAGAAGAGAAGAAATAACACAAACCACTCAGCCCTAGAAGCTGTCTTAGGCCAGGCAGTGGGCTCGGGTTTCCTGCCTGAGGAGAAGTCTGTGGGAGTTGGGGGCCTCGCTACTGGGCTCAGGAATGAGTGAGAAAGCGTAGAAAGCCACCTGGGTCAGAGAAAATAGGGAATTAGAACCATGTGACCATAATGGGTGGATAACAAAGAGCATTTCTTGTGCATCTAATATATGCCACTGTGCTTGGCATAGATGGTTACTTGTTTCGCAACCATTTTCTTTTCCTTCTTCCTTTCTCTCTTTCTTTTTCTTCAGTATTGGGGATGAAACCCAGGGACCCTCTTACCATCAGACTACATTCCCAGCCCTTTTCATATGTTTATCTATTTTTATTTTGAGACCAGGTCTCCCTAAGTTGCCCAGGCTGACCTCAAACTTGCAATCCCCCTGCCTCAGCCTTCCGAGTAAGCTGGGATTACAGATGTGCGCCATCGTGCAAGGCAAGCATTCTACCAACTGAGCTATGTCCCCAGCCCCTCCCTGACCCTTCTCAAAACAGCTCTATGGAGTCTTCTCGCGAGTCGGCCGGCAGACCTGTGTGGTAGACTGCGCATCACTCCTCTACGGCCGGGGATTGTCTCTTCCCCTACCCTGTGAGTTCCTTCATGATCCCAGCATCATGGACACGCTGAAGCAACTCTTGGTGAACTGAACCCCAGACAGCCGGGACCATCCCTCTGTAGTCCACCGGTGGTGTCATACGTCACTGTTACCACGACAAGCCTAGATCATCACTCTCATTAGAAGATAAAAAGTGAGCAGACTCGGGCCACAGTAGCAGCTCCTGGACATGAGTAAGTTTCCAAATACTTTGTTATTCTTCACCAGGCAAGAACTATTTACCATCTTCATTTTCACCATCTCGTGATACTTTCCACTACAAGCAATAGAAGAACAAGTCAAAAGAGTGATGTAGTATTTAAATTATTTATTTGTGTATTATTTATGCATCAAGAAGGACTTATGTAGGAATGACCCAGTAGCTCAACCGCTTCCCTCGAGAATCGGGTTCTGGGCGGGGGGTGTAGCTCCACGACAGAGCACTTGTTTAGCGTGAGTCTCTGGGTTCAATTCCCAGCATTACCAAAAAAAAAAAAAAAAAATCGTGTTCTTTTCCTCTATTCTCATTCAGTCTTCCTCAGCATGTTGGCTACTGCCCTTATGAACACAGTGTAGAGGCAGCAGCTGGAGGCACCACATCTTCATCCACCAATTCCATCAACAAGTCTTTCTCCCCACCCCATATATATACAAAACCTGTCTCTCTCTATATTATATATATATATATATATATATATATATATATATATATATATATATATACACAGACACACACTCACACACACACAAATACACACACACACACACATAAACATACAAAAGACAGGGTCTTGCTGTGTTGCCCAAGTTGGTCTCCAACGGGACTCCAGTTAGGGGTCTTGCCATTTCAGCCTCCCCAGTAGCTGGGACTATAGGCCTGTGTGTTCTCTCTCTCTCTCATCAAGGATTGAACCTAAGGGTACTTAGCAGCTGAGCCACATTCACAGCCCTATTTATTTATTTATTTATTTTGAGACAGGCTCTCACTGAGCTGCTTAGGGCCTTGCTAAATTGCTAGTCTGGTCTCAAACTTGCAATCCTCCTGCCTCAGCCTCCTGAGTCACTGGGATCACAGGCAGCACCCAGCTAGCAATGAGTAGTTCTGCTTCGTGGGGCTTTAGGATGCCCAAAGTAGGGAGGAGGGCCGCAGATGAAGTCCTTCTGGAAGGACCTTCTATACCAGGCTAAAGAGCAGGCACTAAACCTTAAGGGCAATGGCAACCCTGAGGGTCTATGAGGCGGTGAGGGGCAGGCAGGATTGGAGCTGTGCTTCGGAAGGACTTCCTGGCAACGCCCACGCTGGCTGAATTGGGAGAGAAGACCCAGAAGGAGGGAGCGAGGCACTCCAGTGACAACTGATGGGTGGTGGTTCCATTTTCTCTTTGCTCCAGCCTCCCTTCCTGAGGGCCTGCCGTGGGCCCTGGAGGCCAGCACGACCGTACACCTGGCTCTAAGCTCGGGTTGGCTGATGCACACCAGGGCCACTGTCCCCTTTGCCCAGCGCGGTCGGAGACATCACTTGTCCTCCCCCTGGAGGGTGCAGCGCCAGCCTCCTGTCACCCCGCCCTGTCCTGGCTACCCTTCCTGCAGCTCCTGCTGCTCTGCTGCCCTCTCCCCTCCCAGTGCCCTGCAGTGCCCTCTTCCTCACACAGGACTTGGGCCCCTGTCCTCTTTGTGGCAGCTTTGAACACCAACTTGGAGACCTGTTCTCTGTATCCCAACCCTCGGGGACCTCCGAGGCAGGACAATCATCTCGCCAACTCCACCTCCGCCTCCCACCCCCATGGCCACGTCCTCGTGGGGCCTCACCCAAACTGCTGGACCCCCGGACCCTCCCCAGAATCCCCTTCTGCTCCCAAGCCTGCCCCTTGCTCCTAGTTCAGAGTCTTGGCATTCCACCTGCTGGACAGTGATGCCCGCGCCCGCCTGGCCTCAGCAGCTCACCTGCAGGCAAACCCTCTGCCACCGTCTGCTGGGTGCTGAGCTCTGCTGGAGAAGCCCCAGCCACCCAGGAGGTGGCACCACTCACTGCACGTCCTCAGCCATGTGTGTCATGTGTCCTGTGGTGTGTGGGGCTGATGGCCCCAGAGAAGCTCCTTGGGCCACCCAGACCCCACCCTCCTCTCCTAGTCCCAGTCTTCATCCTCAGGACTGATGAGAGTAGCTCTTCCAATTTCCTGTTTGGGCGGGGTGTAGTGCCCACCCATAATCCCAGCAACTTGGGAGGCTGAGGCAGGAGGATCACAAGTTCCAGGCCATCCTGGGCCACTTCAAAAGACCCTGTCACCAAACAAAAAATAAATGAATAAGCTGGGGGTGTGGCTCAGTGGTAGAGCTCTCCTGGGTTCAGTCCCCAGTACTAGAAGAGGGGAAAAAAGAAAAAAGTAGAAACCCAACTTCCTGCCCTAAAATAGATAGATAGATAGATAGATAGACTGATTTTTTGGTAATGCTGAGAACTGACCCCAGGATCCTTGCACATGGAAGACAGGTGCTCTTGGACTGAGCTACATCCCCATCCCTGAAACTACACTTCTGATCCCCATGCAGAACCTCTCTCCCCTCAGGTTCCCTCTTGGTAAACAGCAAGGATCCAGATGGGGCAGGAAACTGAGGGGGTGCTGTTCTTTTGCCTCTCTCACCCCCTCGTCCACTCTACTGGCAAGCCCTGCCG